TGTTTACATCAACCTTAACTGTGTATGTTGTATTTGTCTTCGCTATTGGCAACCATAACTCTCTGAAGGTTGGGAGGAGACAGAAAAGGGATTCTCGAATATTTGAGGTGCTAGAACTCTGGCTATAATCTATGACCTTCCTCCTTGAGATACCTATTTAGCAATTCAGAGATGTCTCAACTGGGAAAGAAAAAAAGATGTTATAATGAAAGGCTGTCCTTTTGGGGGACTTCTTATTCTCATCAACAATGATTAAATAATTAATGCCTTGAAGGCTATCAATAACCACCTTATCAGAGCCAGAGAGGTGAAGTAACCAAGGAACCAACACTGGGAGATTGAATGACCAGATCCTTATATGACAGATAATGAGCTTCCAGAGTGCTGATTGAAATTATAAATAACCAAGTTGTACAACTACACAAACCCTTACATGAGAAAAGTCATTTCTAAGATAGCCTAAAAGGACAAAATCTTCTGGCAGGTCCTCAAACAAAAATACTAATGACAGAAAAGCAAATGGACCAAGATATTCAAGTCTCATTTTCCACAGCTATTAAAGAAGGGATTTTAAGATAGTTTAGAACACCTTTTGTCATAGATTTTTAGATCTGAAAGTAATCTTGGAGATCATTCAATTTAATCCCTTACTTTTTAGGTGAGAAAATGGATTCATCTACACGCACTCAGGGGTAAGTGACTTATTCAAAAATATTCTCAAACCTGTTTCCTATTCAACGTTCTAAACAGCTTAGGTATTTATAAATGGATTCATCTACACGCACTCAGGGGTAAGTGACTTATTCAAAAATATTCTCAAACCTGTTTCCTATTCAATGTTCTAAACAGCTTAGGTATTTATAAATAAAAATTATAACAAAATGGTAGTTTTAATTGAAACTAAGAGCCAAAATAAGCTGCTTGCCAGTAATGGAGATTCACTATGGTTTTGTGGCAGATGCTGTCACAATCTGAGTCACTGCACCAAAGATGTCAGAATCCTGGTTTTGGCAGTAAAGATGTCAGGGTGGGAGTCTGCCCTCAGTTCTTAGTGTGCTCTTGGCCAAAGAATGACCAGACACACCAAAGTGTCAAGTCCAGACTATTATCCTGGTCCTCTGGCTTCTTTCTTGGAAAAATTACCAGCAAGGCCAATATGACGGAGTAACCTCAGGCAGGGAGCAGTTTCACAAGAGCAGCTCTTTATCATAGAACAAAACGGCTCTGTCTCCGAAAGTGAAGACAAACAGTCCAACTCACTTTCTACTGACTTCTCGGACTGTTTCCTTTTATTAGCCCAGACCAGAGGCGGGCTCTTGGGAGGTGTACTATGTTAGCAAATGATCAACAGGTGTCCTCAAAATTCCATCTGTGTATACGAGCTCCCTCTAAGAAAGCCCACCTGGGGGCGGGGGTGTACCGCAATGCAGATTCAGGCTAATGGCATATTAATTACCCTTAGGTTACTCTATGTCATTTTCTAAATCTTGTTATGCCTGGGCCAGGGAATTCCTAGATTAAACATGCCCTCCTTCCCCAGGTGTAGCAATTGTTCAGGATAGGATTAAGGGTGGGGCAGCACCAAAATGGAGTGCCTGCCCTTATCCTTCCCAGCTGGAGCAATTGCTAGAAACAGCACCAAAAGAGGGCACCCTTGTCCTGAGAAGAGCTGGAGATCCTATCTACCTACCTAACACTGATGCTCCAAATTGGAGGTCAGAATCGGGCTCTAGCCCTGGTTCAGCATCTCAAGCGTCTGAGCTGCTCTAAATGGTTACAGCAGGGTTGACTACACCAGGGTTTTCCATGACTAGAAGCAAGTCAGAATCACCTGGGGGGCTTAAAACCAGTTTCCAGGCTCTCTAGAGATTCTGATTTAGTAATTCTGAAATCTGTATTTTTTAAAACTCATGGAGTGAGACTGATGCACAACCAATTAGGAAAACAGACTGAGCTCCGTGAGAGGAGAAACCCAATATTGTTCATTTCTGTACCATGACTGGTACTTAGGGCTCTAAAATGCTTGTTGAATGAATATGGAAAAATAACTTGTCTCTCTGGGTCTTAGTTTCCTC